TTCTAAAATTTTTTCTCATTTTTATTCGGACGGGATTTCTACTTCAATTAAATGTTCGACGTCAGCGTTGTATTCAATAATTAATCCAATTTTGTATAAGTCCGCATCGAGTTTAGTAGCTGAATCGGGCAATGACTCGTTCTCTCGCACGTGCCTCAGCTTTTTATGCTTGCCGTCTACGAGAACCACGTGATCCATTCCTTCCAACTTGTCACAATTTACGCAGCAGGTGCAGTACGTACAACCAAAACACTCGATACAATTGGCACACTCGTAACAGTCCTCGCAACTGTCCAAGGCATTCGAATTTCTGCAGTCGTATGAATTAAAACAAGCCACGCAATTTATACATCTACCGCAATCGTCGCTGGTGAAGCAGTCCTTACATCTGACGCAATCTTGACATTCGTAACAATTGCAACACTCTTTACAACCGATGCATTTGCGTAAACTTTTGGAATTAAAACAACGAAAGCAATCGTACGAATCTATCAAGTCGACCGAATTTCTCGTGTCTTTGCAAAAATAACAATTCACGTTTGTAGTTTGATCTACCATTTATTTTTATGTATTTTATTTTTTTTTTATCAATTTTTTCTCGCGAGTGATAATTCCCAGCGAGTAGCCCGGCACACCGGCAAAGGATGGTGATCTTTAGGAGATTTTTCCCGAGATTTTTGGGTCGATGTACTACCCAGGGGTGTTGAGCAAAAAGACGAGATTCACGTCATTCCAGGATTTTCCCATTTTTTCCCACCAAAAATGTTTCGACGATTTTTTGGGTCGATGTACTACCCAAGGGTTTTGAGCAAAAACCGGGTAAAAAGGGGCGTGTGCTCCAGAACTGTCACTTATATACTACTCTTGCTTCCGGTCTGTTTTCAATAAATTTGTAAGCCGCCAAATTTATATCGTCGAGTACACGCATCACACGCTTTTTCAACAGAAAACAAATTTGGCGACCTACAATATTTTCGGCAGGTTTATCTCGCGTGCCAAATTTATACACGTGATTTATGCCGTAACAGGTAGTGTCGGGCATCATAATTAATAGGCGCTTTTGTTGGTCTTCGTGGGAATAATAAATGGGAGAGCAACATTGACTCACGTGAATATCTTCTTTAATCTCAGGGTTTGAAATAATTAATCTGCTTACGTCAAAGGGCCCATACGTGAGATTGGGATCGCTATTGCGGGCACTGAGTCGCTCGTGCTCGTCGGTTACGATATATGTTTGAGTTGAAATGGTTCTAATTTTCGGTTTTATCCAAACTTTTTCTCATTTTTATTCAGCCGCGTCTATAACCTCGGGTGGGATTTCTACTTTTGTTATTTCTTCAACGTCAACGTCGTATTTAATTAGTAAACCAATTTCATATAAATAATAATCGAGTTTTGTCGCTGAATCAGGCAGTGAATCGTTTTCTCGCGCGTGCCGCAGCTTTTTATGCTTGCCGATCACGAGCACCAAATGATCCATACCTTCCAACTCGATACAATTTACGCAGCAAGTGCAAGCGGTGCAACCAAAACACTCATACGATTGCTGCACTCGTAACAGTCTTCGCAACCATCCAAGGCATTTGAATTTTGAGAGTCGTATGAATTGAAACAATATATGCAGTTTATACATCTGCCGCAACTGTCGCAAGTAGCGCAATTACAACACTTGGTGCAGTCGTTACATTTGTGGCAATCGTGACACTCTTTACAATCGACACATTGAAATAAACAGTAAGAATTTAAACAGCACGAGCAACCGAAGGAATCTACCAAGTCAATTGAATTTCTCGTGTCTTGGCAAAAATAACAATTTACATTTGTTTTATGATCTATCACATTTTTTTTATATTTGTTTAGTTTCCATTTATTTTTTTCATAAAGCGGCGCATAAACCTTTGGGAATAAATATTTCATCCGGCTTGTAAACTCGTTTGCCGTCTTTGGTTTTTCTAATTAAACAGACCCGGTGCCTTTGGTTTTGCACCTGTAGCTTTGCCTGCTCAATTAAATCGCGTTGCGTTTCGTAGCCGTTATCGATTAACCACGTCGCGTGAACGGCGACTAATTAAGCGTATTCAAATTTAGTGGCTAGAGTTAGGGTCATTTCATTGTTAGAGACTTGTCGAGAACTTTTTTAGGTTTTCCCGACGCATCCTGGAGTTGAGCTTTTTTTTTAAATTGGAAAGTCTCCGGGGAAAAGTTCCCCTTTTGGGCTACACGAGTGTTGGTTTGGGAAGTCCCTTTTTTGAGGTCGCGGGTGTTTTTTTTGGGGGAGTCCCTTCTGCCCCGGGATGAGTGAAATCCCCTGCTGCTCTTTAACTCCCCCTTCCCTACTACTGCTTCTAAAATCAAGCAACAAACTGTACTTTTCTTCTACGCCATATCGACAGCCGTCAAGTTTAGGTCCCTCGCGACAGCCCGACCAGATTCTAATTCTGTGTCCGAATCTAAAAAAAAAAAGTTAATTTCATTCCAGTGTTGGTATATTCCAGTTTTCACCACGTATGCGTGTTTGCGGGGGTCGTAGGGGTTTCACTTTACTCGCTTTTATCTAATACAGACTCAAAACTAGCATGAATCACAAATGGTGCTAGTTGTCTGTTTTTAAAGTTTCTAAACTTCATGACATTTTCTTCTTTCTCGATCTTGGGTAATACAACTTTAGATAAGGTAGAATCTATACCTTGGCAATCTAGTTTGTGAAGGTCGAATTTTCTTGGTCATAAAAATGCGAAAGACATCGGCAACAAAAAATTTCTTCTTGTTTTTGTTTACGTCACTTATCAATCTCGAGATATTTTTGATCGGCTTTCCAATCGGTTTGGTGGACTCATCCCGTTAAGTTTCAGCGAAAAGCAGAGCCCCTTCCGACGTAGTTTTAAATTTTAGACAGTAGTTCTGCACTTTGGTTCTCGACGGTAGACACAATTTCAGTTTCTTTTAAAACTGTCATTTGTGGAGTATAATATGCAACAGAAGTCTTCTCGGGACCTTGTGGGCCTGGTTCCTAATCTTTTTTGTGTATTCCACTTCAAACGCGGCTGTAATTTAAAACTTCTGAGTTGTCTATTGACAGAGATTACTATGGCGTTTATTTTTGGCTTGTTGTGACTGAGAAACTTGTATTATCTGTATTGTATCTGTATTAAACAGTTTTGGTACAAGCTCGAAGTTAATATAGGTTTTAAACTTTCTGACCTCTCTGAAGTCGGCTTCTATAAACGACTCTGGTGAGGCATATTTTTCAATGGCATTAATGTAGTCTTCTCTCAACAACTTTCCGTTTCTCGCGGTTCCAATTACCGTAAAATTATTGTTTTGCTCAACCTCCCACAAAAAAGAGAATTTTTTTCAAAGTAGATATCAAAACTGCCTTTGGTTTTCTTTAATAGCTTCGATATAATCTTTCCTCTTATAATTCTGGGGTTTTTTGGCATTGGTATATTGTGACCTGTGATATAATCTCTTATCACAGATTTGTTTCATCTAAAATAAGCTGCCGCCAGTGGTTTCTCCATATTTTTTCACCCTCTTTAACATATAGCAAGAAAATATCTAAATAAACTTTTTCCAACTAGTTTTTTCCTAATAATAAGCTCAATACATTGGCATCGATGTCACCATGTTCACATTTTGTCGGTGTAAAAATTTTGCAAGAGGGTATACATTTTTGGTGAGGGCAAGACAGGTCTTTTCTGCTTTTTTTTTTTTTAAATAATATGCTCGATGGCTGGATACCGAAAGGAGGATAGCGCGTTGATGTAGAATACTCGTTAGGGTCACTGGCGGCAGCCGTCAATTAGGTCGAGGGTAGGCCAAGTCAGCTTTGGTCGAGCACCCTCACAACTCTTAATCTGCATTTCATCACTAAGCTAACTGTAAATCACAGGGGTTCACCTAATCACCTATACAGGATTCACCAAATGAAGAAAGAACACTGATAAAAAACTAGACCAATAAAAAAATCCAGGCATCTTTTGAAGTGCACTTGTGCACGAGGGTTTTCCCAAAACACTAAACCCTATTAATAAGGTTACGACCTCATCGTCAATCCCCTTGTAGTGATCCCCTGCAGTGTGCCAGGTAGCTTTGGGCGCCTGACGGTAGACTACCTCCAAATCGACCTGTCCCCGTTGTCGCCTCTTCAGCCACTCTTGAGTCGGCCGAAGGCAAGCCTGGGGCCCCGTTGCTAGCGACTGCTACAATATAGTGACATACGACTACATGTAAATGCATACAAGACATAAGGCCCAGCCGAAGACCTTGACAAAAACAACTCTTTAAAGTCAGCATGCATATTTTTGCTACTGAATGTCACTTTTTTTTCGAAATCCCGAAGTATGCTAAGAAGGATTTTGAAGAACTTAGGAAGGTAAGTGTTTGCGGAAAATAGATCCTCATGCTATATTTTCTCTGGGCAGATGTTCTATTTGAAATAAACTGGGATAATCTTTTTTAAGTAAAACATGAACAATGCAACAAGTGAGTCGGAGTGCAGCATTTTGACCACATAAGCATTTCGTCTCAGATCTAAGGTTTAAAATGAACAGAATACAAAAAAATTCAGAACATGTAGAAGTTTAATTACATTTGGATAAATTCCAATTACTGCTTTCCTCAATGTTACCAGAAATTATCACTCTGAAACAGTCATGTTACAAGCTACCTGGATATTGGATTAACAATGACGAAAGCTTAGAGTTGTAATGACTTGGAATGACTAATTATGTCTTGATCACAACGTTGATCCTATTCCATTATTCTGCATGCAAATAAGAGTTACCACCACAAAAAACAAACAAACAAACAAACAAACAAACATACAATAATCAAACAAGAATTCAATGTGATTCTTCAAAAAACATAAAATTCTGCTCACACTTTGGAAAATGAACAATGTACTATGGGACAAAAACTCATGCATGTAAATGTACTTGGTAGTGTGCCTACAGGGCTTGACTGATAAAGTGGACCCCATGAAAATTCTCAAAGGTTTAGTTAATCAACTGAAAATGCAGAGAACTTTGTCCATTTGCCCACTTACAACACTAAATATGTATTGAACAAGTAAAATTATGGCAAATAATCCGAGGTGTGTATATGGCTCCAACGTGTCTAGAGCAAAGTGTACAATCTCTTTAAATTTGGCCTGTATAAATATGCAGGGTAACTATCACTTCGTGTACACACAATTTCTGCAATACAAACAAATATATAGGTCTTAATTATTCATTAAAACAACTTTTTGAATTGAATTTCGAATATACAGGGTGTCTTTAAAAAAAGCAAACCGAACTATTTTTGTAATGGTAACCATTATCTGTTTCATTATGACGTCCTCTTTTGTACGACACCAAAGCCCAATGCAAATTTTGGTCATAGATGACTGAGCACAGCGTGGTTTAATGGACCAAGTCAGGAATGGCTTTGCACCAAATCACTGTTTTGGTGTTTAATTTATATTGTCTAGAGAAGGCTTTTTTGTTAGAATTACATATTTGCTGGAATCTACAAAATGCTGGATACCTATTCCACTAAAAGCGATGATAAAAGAGGCAGAAGTTTGCATTGAAAGAATTGGGGAGCATGTTGAACGACATTTAAGTGTGGTTGTCTTTAAATTCATGCTTTTAATAGTCTACTTTTGCTTTTGTTTTTCTTTTGAAATCCTTCATGCTGTGCAAACCTGTGCTGCATCTTGTGCACAGGTGTTTCTGACACAGTACATTAAACCACTTTGTATTCAGTCGTGTGTGATGGAAATGTGGATTTCTTAATGTCATAAGAAAGAGGACATCATACTGAAACAGATTATATTGACCATTTACAAAAATAGTTAGTCAACTTCAAGAAACAACTAATTAATCTTGGTTTCTTTTCTTTAAGACACCCGGTATACAGCTGTGCACAGCTAAAAGTCTTGTGACTATGTTTTGTGTAATCTGACAAGTGCTACATCTGAGGTTGGGCAGGAATTTAAACAACCAGGGGTGAGATTAAAGGAAAATGAAATGTCCTTGCAAGAAAATCACTCGAGGTTTAGCGGGCACCACGACAGTGTAGGGCCTATGGTATACATTTGTGTTTGCTTGAGGGCATCCTTTAAAATACCCATCTCGTGTTCTGTATCAATTTTTATACATACCACACCTTGATGGTAAAACTTGGGATTTTCCAGATTTCATGAACAAACTTTTGAAAAATCGTAAAATCAGGAAAATAGCGATAAAAGTTAAATCCTGAAATCAGGAAACATCCTGACAAATCTCACCCCTGAACAACACTCCTCATTAACCCAAATAGATTACCAAACACAGGTGGCGTGTAAAGACCATGAGGCACTTCTCAGGAAGATTACAACAGCTCGAACTCTTCATCAGAATCATAAGTAGGTTCCTCTTCCAACTCATCTTTTATTTCTGAGAAAGGAAAGAAATACATTCACAACTTAATTGATTTATTTTTTCTTTTATTCTTTCCGGGAAAAAAAAGAGAAAAGGTTAAAATTCCATTAGTTGGCATGAAATACAATTCCCAATTAAAATATAGATTTAAGTCAGAAACAGCACACAGCAAATATATTTTTAAAAATGCATTATATCCATCTCATCAATACAAGGTTGACTAGAGGCAGTGGATGTTACAGCAACAATCACAGAGCTGTTTTGGATTTCAAGTTGTTTAACAGATAATTGTATCAGTGATTATACACGTTTGTGCCCCTCACCTAGTTTGTGCGCATGCGTACTGAATCCCACAACAGCCAGAAGCTAGTAAAATGGCTCTTGACTCGGCCGGGGTGGATGATCAACATCAAGCTCAGAAAAAGTTGTTTGCCCCTCATTTCCATCCCAATTAGTAATTTAACATTCAAAGTCCCTTTTGCTAACTTGCACACAATAAAAATCCATTTTCTGCCAGATTTTGGCCCGTCTTTCGTACATACCTCCTAAGTGACAGAGTCAGAAGTTGGAAATGAAACCAACATTTTAGAGGGTTTTTTTTTTTCAATTTTGCCGAGTTTTCCCTGACATTTCTCTACTTGTGAATAGTGAGGAATATCATGAACGCTCTAATGAGAAAGTATCATGCAAGAAGAAAACTGTATGAGTGAGAACGGAAAGTTTTTGTTTGGCCTTTTGTTGGCAATTTGATGTCGTTGTATGTACTAGTGTAATGCAGTAAAAGTCAACTTGTACGGAAACGCACTTATATCCAGGGGTGTGTGTGTACGTGTATGCCATGCCCAATATCCAAACATCAGTTTTGACCGCTGTTGGTCATGTTGGACTCAGTGTGGAAATTTGAATCCGCATGAAAAATGAATCCGCATTTCGGACAAATGGCTCTTGATCTTGAAGAAATGACCTGATGGATACAAATGATTCATCAGTCTTCCAGACGGTATCACTGATGACCTGAGGAGAAGCTATAAAATATCACCATGTCACAGATTCTTGGCAATTTTTTCACACACGAGGTCTTCAAGGGTAATGGCAGGACAAATCCCTCACGGATATGCGTCGTCTGCTAGAGTAATTTTTCAGGCCGACGACCATTATGTCACTATCGCACATGTGCGAATACAAGAACTACATGTAAATGCACACACAGTCTATGGGGACCAAACATATGTGTATGGTCTGTGATGATTTTGTCCTTGGACCCTCTGAAGCAGCTGGATTAAGAGTGTACACCTAAATATATTGTCAGTCACATCGACAAAAGTGTCGAAGACTGGCCACTGAAAAACATGTACAAAACCTGTGGGGAAAATAAAATATACAAAAATGAATTTAAAAAAAATCACAAGGTGACGTCATCATGACATCATCATCTAGAATAATTCTTTTATCAGGGTCTTTGTCATCGTGACGAATTTCTTTTAGGACCATACGAGAATTATTGTCTGAAGGTCTGCCAAGTTTGAAGTCAATCAGATATATAAAACTACCAAAAGTCAACTAGTGGAAGAAAATGTGTACAGACCCTATGGGGAAAGAGTCTGAAAAAACAAGCAAAAACGAGAGCTTCTTTGTCTGTTTGCAACATAACACAGGGCTTTTTCGATTTTCATTGAAAATGGCATCATGATTGCATGTCTGTTGAGTCCTTTTGGAGATACAGGGCTTTAAATGATGCAACTTTAATATCACGTGACTTTTGAACTGATGACTTCATCATTCCATGGGATAAATTTTCGTCTATTGCAAACCTTCCTGATAAGATATAGGGCTGTAAAGGATGCACCTTTAAAGTCGTGACTTTTCAACTGATGACATCATCATCCTTTGAGGTCAATTTTCGTCTATCATACATCCCCTGTATCCGTAAAATTTCAACCCAATCAGACATGTATTCCAGGAGATATAGCACCATTAATGTCACGTGAATTATCACCTGATGATCATGTGATCACAAGGACAATGTTTCAACCCAATCAGACATGTATTCCAGGAGATATAGCACCATTAATGTCACGTGAATTATCACCTGATGATCATGTGATCACAAGGACAATGTTTGTCTGGAACATTTCCCTTTTCAACTTATCTGCGAAATTTCATCCCGATGGGATACGTGCATTTGTATTTCAGGAGATACCTGTATCCAGTTTGTAAGTGACTTCGTCACGATGGCGGACGCGCCACGATTTGCAGGCAAGCTCCCATTAGATGATTGCTGAAGTTGTGCGTTAACTTCCGGTTCCATGTAAACGGCTATTAATGCATGTAGCTCTATGTGCAGTGCATGTGCAGTGGACGTGGTTTAAACTGAGGTGACGTCACACAAACAGGATAGGGCTACTGACGATAGACTTCACAAACTTTATATTAGACTTTCAGTTCAGTTTAACCCTGGGCTCAACGGCCAGTGATGGAAATCGACAAATATCACCAAATATGGTAAGTAATTTTTTTCTCAATGGGTCACAGAGATTTTTTGTAATCCTCACTCCGGGCATACGCCACAAGCCTGTAAACTCCCATTATTAATTTGTATGCGAGACAAAAAAAATATCTTTAATATCTGTTTGGAATAAGATGACCTTGATTGGGATCTCAGAGACAAACACAATGTTTCCCTTGCCTATATTAAAGTAAAACGGGCAACAAACAATGAATAGTTATTTCAAATGCTAATGCTTAATTCAGTTCACTTCGGGCTTTTGTTTGCCTCATCCGTATCGAAATAATGGTCAAACGGGGTTTGAATGGGCCCGGGATGAGTGCCGGCAAGAGGATTTGCTGCAGTACGGTGTACGGATTTGCAACTACTGTGATCATGTAAAATCATCTTAATACCAGACGATATGGGACTGTTAGGGCCATCGGTATACACAAAGTATTAAGAAACGTCGATTTAAAGACGGGAAGAAAAATAATGCAAACATCAATTTCATACAATTCTTTCAAAAGTACATCTTATTTCCTGTCAACAGTAACTGGACAAATGATTAGTTTTAACAATTGTATCTGCAAGTGCACAGAAGCACAAACTCCGATTGTGGAATTTAAGTGTGTGTTATGAACTGCACTCAAAATATTGAACACTGAAACTGGTCTTGAAGTTGAAGGATTATCAGAGTTAAAGAATATGTTAAAGTGTCCTTGCTATTTATAAAACAAAAGAGAAAAACTGCATTAGGGCATTTCACTACTGTATATTACATAAATACCGGTAAAGGTTTTTTTATGTCCTACATATTTAAAAAAACTTGGGAACATGTAAAAGTTAAAAGTATTTTAAAATTAAAATATCAGGAACTTGTGACCACTGAAAACCTTGCATAATGCTCTGAAACCTGTGTTCACAATTTCTGCAGATATCTTAAAAAAAATATGCCGGGGACATCTGTAACACATTGTTACAGATGGGATATTTCTTCCTTTGCAATTAACCTGCTGTTTTTTTTTATTTAACTCATTCTTTAGACATTTGTGATATTTTAAGTCTAAACTGATCTGCAGCAGACCCGATTATGTAACTTCCTTCGTTCCCTATGTACATGTATTGTGGTTTGTATCTGATATTCTTTTGTTAAAATGTTGCCCAGTGGGCTGACCGGTTATGTAATGGCCTCTTTATTATTTTCTGGGTGCACATGTATTTAAGAAGTGGGTTGTACCGTGCTTGGGTGCACTCATTGCACTACAGCCACCAGTTCAGCCAGGGGCTCTGCTCTTTTTCCAATTGATGGGTGTCGCCAACCTTCATCACTCCAGCCAATATCTAATTGGCGAGGGCCAATTAGATATTGGCTGGAGTGATGAAGCTACACACGAGTCACCGCTGTAAACCATCTAGTTTTGGGGCTCTTCCTAGATGGCCTCGGACCAGACCAATCCTGTGCACCGGCCAGTGCTTCAGCCAGCTGCGCCCGAGTTGCCCCTCCAAGCCAGAACACCAGCAGTCAACTTGACGACAACACAAACACCCAATAAAGTCCAGTATCCTCGATAGCAACCAATAAGTAATTATTTAATTTTATAAAAAATAGTAACCTGAATTTAAATTGCTTTTAATTATTATTATTTTTGGTTTGTAAACTGAATAGATTTCTGTAAATATAGTTTCCTTTTCTCTGCTGTCATGTTCATCTCTGTTGTGCCCTATTTCATTTTGGTTCTTTTGACTTAGTCGCAACAACATACATTTATATACCTCATGTCCTATTGGTTGCAGTTTTTTAGATAAAGTTATTTTGATGAAGTCCTTCTGTAGAACGTTCTCGGTACGAATTGCATTTCCATTGATAACACCTACATGTCAACAGACTTCATTCACGAATGTGCTGGTAAACATTCTTCTGTGTTATCTAAAAAACAAGAAAATAATAATTTATTATGTGTCAGATATATATTGATGCATGGATAAAAGGTGTAAGAACTTTTAGCACTTTTGATATCACTTGGCTACATGAGTAGGAATGTTACAGTGGATACTGGATACATGGATATTGATCAATGAGTGATTTACATTAGTACATGCATGGGTCCCCCTGCTCTCTTTGCTTCATGACTGCATTAATCAGAACTGGCAGTCTGTTTGTATGTCAGTGCAACAGTAGGCCTTTTCACCGTTACCTGTTAATTTCCTTGCTTCGTTGTATAGCACCTTCCTTTACCGTGGAAAGAAGTGCATCCGATCTACATATAACTGCAGCGACATTGATTTCCCAACATGGAGAACATCTGTGGTTTTCACTTAAGCAGCAGCAGCAGCAGCAGCATGAAGGATGCCTATACACAAGAAACAAATAAGGAAATTGAAATATTCAGCTGATATCAACATGTAAATAATCAAACACTGTGAACTAGTAATAATATAGCTTTGTCTTTTGGGGGAACAATGAAATATTCACATTGAGTGTTTTGAAAAAATGAAGGAAAAATCTGCTCTCATGTCTTAGGGCATACATTTTTCTGAAGTATATCATATAAAAACTGCCAACTTCTTTTCTACTCTGAAGATTTCCAGACATTTCAAATGACATGAATTGAAAATATCAGGGTCTTTTGCATGCTGAAGACTTTGCACTATTCTTCTGAAACCAGTTTGAACAATTTCTGCAGTTGTTTTTCAATATATTTTAGCAGTTACATGTACACATACAAGTAAACATCACTTCCTGATGGTTGCAGTCTTGCTATGAGTAGTTTGATGAAGCTGTTCTTATCCTTCTCGGGATCAGTCCTGCTTCAATTGCACCGTCATACCAGGGACATCCAACAAGTCCGCCCTTTTGTCTGTGCTGATGAACATCTGTATCATTGCAAAAGGAAAACATGTTTATTACAGGTGCAGCAGTTCATGTGTTAATTGATGCATGGGAAAAGTTGAGTCAGAACATGAACACATGCAAATACAGTGTACAAGTGCACACGTATTCCTTGGCATAGCAACCTTGCGTTCTCATTAAATGGGGAGTACGTGGGGACCTGAATGTTAAAAGGGGTGGGGGGACCAGGCACATGGATGTACCCCCCCACACACAAGTGTGTAAACGCCTTCGATCGTGGACTCCCTATTGTTCCTCTTTTGTTCACACTAACTTTTCGGAAGACCTCTCATATGTTTTGTACATGTTTTCCAACCGTGGACTCTTCGGCAACCGTGGACCCTATTGTCCTCTATTGTTATCGGTCCACAATTGAAGGCGTTTACACACTCACACATACACACTTGTGTCAGAACTTGAACACGTGCAAATACAGCGTACATGCGCACATTTTCAATGGCAAAGCAACCTTGCGTTCTCACTATGGTGAATACTTGGGGACCTGCATGCTACATAGCACAGAAAGTGCGGACAAAAACTTGCCATTGGGCATGTTTTGTAAGACGTATACCTTTGCCTACTTGAACCAGTTCCAGCACTTCATCCATCCAGCTTCCAAACCCAGCTGCCCGCCGCACTACGTGTAGCTGTTGGGCCCGGTGCATCCTTGCTAACGATCATTGTGATCATGCCTATTCGGTGTCAAGTCCTTCTGCAATTTCTTGCGCCGGTGCATGAATTTGGTTTCAATTAAGCTTTTATGGGATTACCTTGGAATCCTTTGATCAAGCAAAGTCCATTGAGAACTCAATTGGTGTAATTTCAGGTCCAGGAAGTCCCAAGAGGTCCTGAGAAAACACATGGGCCCCTTGAAAATATCGTCCTGATTGAACCCATGTGTTGACGCCAGACAGCACATATCGTTGATACATGCACAGATGATTTGTGTTAAATATAAAAATTGGTTGAGTCGTGATGACATGGAATCTCAGAGTTCAAAGCCCTTGATATTTCACACAATTTTTCACAACCTTCTAGCCAAATTATCTAGAAATTATGCAATAAGACTGCGTGATAATGCTAACATGGACCGATATCACACAAGTCACTGAGCTGATCACGCAACGGACATGCCTAATCCTTACTTCAAAACTGTATGTAAAGTCATTGGGTTTTATGTGTACAAAGTCAATAGGAGAAATTAAATCTTCAAAATTAAATTTAAAAATCCAATTTTGATGCCAAAGTGACATCATGCTTCTACATTTATCTGTGCTGGTGGTCTTTGCTTGTAACAAGTTTCATTTTCTGAAGCGGTCACAATCTACACCATTCTGGCTGTTGAAAAACCTCTGCAAAACTTATGGGGAAAAATAAATACTCAAAAATTCAATAAAAAATAAGGTGATGACGTCATCATGACGTCATTATTTAGGCAATGATTTTGCATCATGGTCTTTGCTGGCTATAACTTTGATGATGATTGAGGATCGCAAAGTATCCGAAATTGTGCCTTGAAAACGTGAACAAAGTCAATAAGATAAAATCAATAATAAATTATGTGATGACGTCATCATGACGTCATGTTTCTAGGACCATCTGTGCATAAGGGTTCTTCATTGGTATAGGTTTGATGAAGATCGAAAGTCGTAAAAGCACTAAAGTGGCGGCGACAAAAAATTTGCACAAAACAAAGTGGTTTTAGGTCAGAAGAAGAATAAGGAAGAAGAAGAAAAAGGAAGAAGAAGAAAAACGAGAGGTCATCTGTCTGTTTGCCAACAGAACAGAGGGATTTTTTGCATTCTTTTGTACATTTGAACAACTAAGGCATCATCACATCAAGTCATTTTTTGTATATAACACCTCTCTTTCAAGTTATCTGCAAAGTTTCAACCAGATAGAACATGTATTTTAGGAGATATACGGTCTTAGGGAGTGCACCTTTAATGTCATGTGACTTGTCAACTGATGACCTCATAATCCCATGAGGTAAATTTTTGTCTGTCACGAATTCCCTTCTAGATATCTGCAAAGTTTCAACCAGCTGGGACATGTACTTTTGGAGATATAGGGCTTTAAAGCATGCTTCTATCATGTCACGTTCCTTGTAAACTGATGACATCATCATCCCATGAGGTTAATTTTCATCTATCACACATAACCTACCAGGTATCTGCTAAGTTTCAACCCGCTGGGACATGTACTTTTGGAAATATAGGGCCTCAAAGAGTACACCATGATATCATGTGACTTCAAATGATGTCATTATCATGGGCCAATTTTCGTCTGTAACAGTTCCGTCACTAGTTATCTTAATGACTGTCATAATTAATACACAATGTTGACTTCCATCAAGTGAAGGCCCACTACACTCTTTTCATAATACACATACAAATTTAACTGACAACAAACTCCACAAACTTTGGACTTCAGTTCCGTTTAATTTGTACGTGAAACAAAAAATCAACATCTCTTCAATACCTGTTTGGAATAAGATGACCTAGATTGTGATTTCAGAAACAAACACAGTATGTTTCCCTTGCCTACTTTAAAGAATAATGGGCAATGAATGATTTCATGAATAGTTGTTTCAAATGCAAATGGTAAAAACAGCTATCAACAATACTGTGTAGTGCACTCTGTGACTTTCTTGTATTGAGTAGCGCATTTGCATATCTACAGAGCCATACATGTGCAGGCCAGCATCTGACAATAGTGATCTGAACAGGGTATTGTTTCTGCCCTGCATTTGTTCACTGGTATGAAAAGCTTTTGTGATTCCCCCCACCCTGTGGAGCGGGCAGAAACATAGTAATCAGATCACTCTGCTTCAGAGCCTCATTGCCTTAACATCACTTTCTGCTACTGCACTGCTACTTGCTGCTACTATACATAGTTACATTGTATGAAACATTGTTATATCTATTTGCCTTGGTGCATACATCATTAGTGATTGGCATGGGTCGAGGGACGCTGCATG